TTCTCATCATTGCCATTATATGGTATCGTTTGATAACTGCTTACCTTTAACCGTAAAATAATGGCTTTTGGTAGATTAATAACTTTACTTGTTGCACAAAATAATCACTTTCCTTTTGCATTTTGATAGCATAATGAAAACGATCAGTATGCTTTAAATATAAATTTACAATTTTAAATAGGATAATCATTATTGTTGTTTTCGTCATCTAGAAATGGTGGTGTAAAATACAATTTATGCTGAAATATTTTTTAACAAATTTATCATAATTTATGTTAATTTAAAAGCTTCTTTTATTTCATCATGCTTCAAAAAGTAACAAAATAAAATCGTTTAGAATATTTAAACTTTAAAATATTTTACAATAACAATAAATTCTTTTCCATTCATCGTTTCATTCCCGTTCAATGGAATTTTTTTTGTCTTTCGAAAATCAGAATAATTGTAAAGTTTCTTCGTTTTTTGTTTTTGTTCATTTGAAAAATTATTAATGCATGTTGTGAATTAATTTGATTAATTATTATTTGGTAAAAATAAAATTTGATAATATTTTTTTCAGTATCTGCTATATTTTTGGGCAATTGTGAAGTGATTGAAAAACAAACGAACTTCAACAGTTTTCGTTAATTGTTATTAAAAGGAAAAATTAAAGGAATGCTTAGGAGGGATTTTACATGTTGGTCACAATCACCTGGTCATTCATCATTATACACACCTAATACATTCTTTCATCATCCAAAAGCAGTTCCAATTACAAATGATAATCGCTCAACAGCATTTCGTTTTGGTAAGTAAATTTAAATACAAAACTACTGATAGCATATACATTTTGAGATTAAAAATTAATCCAATAAATAGTAAACAGTGGTTCCGGATTCCGGACTCCGGATTTTGTTTGTTAAATAAGTATATATTGATATATTGGCATGATTTTGATGATGGAATGATGAAAATGATGTGCAAAATGTCATCATTATTAACATTATTATCATTTTTGATAATAAGTAAGTTTTAAAAATGGCAACATTTTAAGAAATTAAGAATAGTTAGATTTGAAGAAAGGGAAACAGAGAGAGAAAAAGAGAAAGAGAAAAGGAAGTGAGAGAAAAAAAGGAAGTTACATAACTTAAGTTTGCGAAAAATTTGTGGAATTTAATGAAATACTTTAACAATAAAATACAGGAACAGAATGTGTTACATTTACAAAAGGATTGTTTCAATTTAACTTTTCTCTCTCTCTCTCTCTCTCTCCCTCTTCTCTCCATATTGTTGTTAACTGACTTTAAAAAAGTGCTGAAATTTTATGGATAAACTAAAATTACCAAATTATTTTAGCTAATTACTACCGATAAATTATAAAAAAAAATATCTGTAAACTATTAACAGATGGCATGTTTTTCAATAGATTCATATATTTGTTCTACTTGTGGCTTTTGTTATTATTAATATTATTGTTTGTAAAAGAGATAGATAGTGGAAAAAAAAAAAACGATATGAGAGCAAGAAGAATGATACAACTGATGACCTCAATTAATATTTGAGTGGAAATAGAAATGGGATATGGTGACAGAGTATTGAGGATAGGATAGATAGATGACTTTTGATTGCTATTATTGCTGATGGGTTAGATTCCAAGAAAAGACTTGTTATTCTATATTTTTCAATGGATTTTACTGGAATGAGGCACCAAAGAGTGTAAAGCAATGGAATAGAAAGAGAGGAAAGAGTGAAACCTTGAAAATGATTGTTGAAATGATGGGACACGCGTCCCAATCAATGTCAAAACTCTAATTACCTGTCCGACAATCTCGATGCCATATGATGTGATAGTTGTTTGTATACGTTTTCTATACGTGTATATATATTTGTATATTTATGTATGTATGTGTGTGTGTATGTGTGTGTGTGTGTATGTGTGTGTGTGTGTGATACGATTCATTAATACCATAGAATATTCCATTTTGACTTCAGAAAGCCAACATTATACAAATACCACATTGTATGACTTACTTTTGTTTTTTTGATTGTTTACCTTATGTTTACTTTAAAGGAAATAATTTTTTCTTC